GAACTAATTGTGGAACTACCCACTTTTTGGCCGGAACTGGGTGCGATTTTAGTACCGGACTGCCTTTTTCGAGAACCAAATTAGCTCCTACTCCGGAGCAGGGTCTAACCAGCACAACTGGTTCTAATCGTGACGTAAGTAGACATTGATTGGTCAAACGCGTATGAAAACGCCCTCACCCGCCATTATTTAAAACGCCGTGTAAACACTGTAAACTTTGTGTCAACTTATTTCGCAAGTATGGAGAACAGCGATAGATGGACGGACGCTGAAGTGCAGGCACTTGTAGCAAATGTAGCACTGCCAGTTGTCGTTGGAGATTCTTAGTCCTCCTTTCCGTTCTTTCAATCGCTTTACGTATACGTCGACTTTCCATGTCCATTATTGTGAAACCCGCGAGACACAACAAAAACACAGCTCCGATCACAGCGTCCTCCATCCTCCTGTTGTTAATGTTGTTGTTCTTTGTTTCTGTTGTTGAACGCCGCGCACGAATGACGACGCTGTCGACCGGCTTACGTCACTTCTTAGTACACACTCTCGGTGCGAATGCAACCCTTTAAATAGTACTGGGAAATAGTTTGCGCAAAATCGTCCCAGTACTTTAGTACTGTACATTTAGTTCTGGAACTAAAGCGGTGCGAAAGGCCCTAATGTAAACATTTGACCTGGCAGTGACGTAGATGAGCAGACACCTGTAATTGGAGAGACTCCTTCAGAAGGAAAGAGAACAGGAATAGAGAGGACACATTATTTTAATTATGTCTCACCACAGAGGCCTGTAGCCCAGAGGGACTTATCAATGTACCCATCCAGGGGAACGACAGCGGGAAACACAGAGCCACGCAGATGCATGCATGCGCATTTCTGAAACAGAGTTTATTAGATGACCCAAGATGAACAGTTTGTTCTTTTGGAGCCCAATAAAATCACGACGCACACTCTTAATTTGAGCACGGAAACACCTAATGGGGATTAACAATCTCATTCATTATTCCCAAAGCATCATCTATTGAATTCACACATCTCACAAAACACACTGACTCATCAAACAGCTGGCGCTCACAGGAGTTCTTTGGCTTTTTAATTTATAAACTTGTTAATTCTCTTTTGCAGGGTTTGGATTAACCTTAAAGTCAAACTGTGGTGGCATTCTGAGTTAAACTGGATTTTCAAAGAGAGAAAAAAAAAAGGATGGGACTTGATTAGGTCAGGAATTGACTTAAAAGTGATTTTACTAAGACTGCATTAGCTTAGAATGCCTGAATAGGAAGTAAATCAATTAAAACTTGCAATAATAAATAGTGTATATTTACACACTGACTCCAAAATTATTACAATCAAAATAAAGGAAGCATGTTTTATAATCGACTTATTTTTAATATTCTTTCGATAAGATAAGTATTATCAAGGCCAGCATCACAGATAGGGATGCCAACTAATTAATATAAATTAACAGAATTTTTAAATTCTTTATAAACAGATTATTTTTATATATTATATTTTATGATTAATCACATTTTTTACAAATTTCTAAGAATACAATGAGCAATTAGTCATTTCACCTTTATATTTGAAAGTTTTTATTAGCAATTTTTTAAGTGTCAAACAGTACGCATTACTCCTACAAAGGCCTACAATAGTCCTACAAAATAGGCATAGGCCAAACTGGCGTCAGCCAAATAGGAAATTCTTTTCAGAGTTGGAGAAAGTGAACACAAGATGACATGTCAGCCAGAAAGAAAGATTATCATTCACTGTAATTTTTTGGAGAGAAAAAAAAATTCAGTAGAAATAAATGGTGACTGAGGCTGTCCATCACTGAAATTCTTCAAAATATTTCTTTTTGTGTTTGATGGAAGAAATAAAGTCAACATAGTGCACAAGTGAGAAAAACACTCAAATGTTGTAGTGTTGAAGTGCTTTGTGATGTTAATTTATTGAACTGACCCCTGAACTTTCACTGGAATGTGAACGGTATGCACATCAAAGCCTTTTAAAAACCCTCTAACCGTGACACATCAAAAGGCCGATCTATGCTTTTGCTCACCCACACAAACAGCTACTTTATAACGGATAATAACACCATTCACAAGCTTTGCAAAATGACCAAGTTAAAAAAGTTTTTCCATGATGGATATATTCCGCACTAAATGCTCTTCTCGATTCCTTGTGTTTTTTATAAAAGGAGATATTCAAGGGTATGGTGATGCATCACTGCAGTGCTTGTGTGTGTGTAAGTGATCAAGAGAGAGATGGTCTGAGGTTTACATGGTTTACAGACATTAGTGCTGTTACATTAGGCCCAGTCAGTTTGTTTTCATCCCCGCAGCTCCAAACACCACACACACACACACACCTCCGCTGAGACCAGCTGTCCAGCAATCAGTTGGGTTATCACACACAAGCTTCAGGTTATGATCCGCAAATACACCACACCCCAATCTCTATTGTGCACAAACACTAGCCATTTCCTGCCAAAAGCTGCTAAAACAACATCTAATGAAAATCAACCCAAACACCAACTGGAAAAAAGAGATAGAGTGATACATATCAGCCAAAAAAAATTAATCGGTCAACATTTAACTAATTTGATATTTTCAGCCAAAATCATCAGCCAAAAACTGTACTCACTTGGCTTTGGAAGAGAAATTTTAATTTTGTCTAGACATCCAGAGACAGCCTTGTTAATGGACTAACCTTTTGTTTTTTAAACAGTATAATGTGTTTCTGTTTTCAAATATTTTGAGTAAATTTTGAGAAAATATTGTCTAAATAAACTGATCACCTAACATTAAATCAGATTATATCATTTAACCTACATGTAATTGATAATGTACAGTCAGGCGATCAATATCGCAAAATATTCTATTTGCTTTTTTGTGATAACCACCTGAAAATACATTACCCTGCTCATTACATTTAAATTATTATTAAATATTAATAATAATTTAACTATAATTTAGGTATTTTTTATTATATGAGAAATAATATTTAAAATAGCCTATTTCACCAAAGAATGCAAACACTGACCAATCAAAATCAAGTACAAAGAACAACGTAATAAATCAACAATATAATCACCACTCACCATAGACATGAGAATCAACACTAAAAGAAAATCATATTTGCTCCACCACAAATCTCTGTGCAAATGTGTTATGTATGTATAATGAATTACTTTCATATACATATCTACAAGATTACTGGCCAGAAAAAAACTTCAAAAAAATCTCATATCTGCCCATGAAAAATATAAAACGGCTCTTTTTTTCTAATGGATTAGATTTAAAATATTATTGGATCTTATCGCAGTTGAACCGCTTATTGAAATGCTCTTATTACACCATATCACAGCCAAACATTCGGCAGGTTGAGCGATTGCTTCATAGTGTGAGTGTTCTGGCTGCTAAACTACGTTAGGTGTCAATGCACCCCAGCGTCAGACTCACCGGCTCGCTCGACTACGACCCAGTGCCTGGTACGGTTCTGTTTTAGACAAACACATGAAGTCACCAAACCTTCCATGTGCTGGTTATTTCAGCAAACCAAAGAGGCTCTCCATATTTAATGCTCTGAGAGTGAGAGAGAGAGAAAGAGAGAGAGAGTGTGTGTGTGTGTGTGTGTGTGTGTGTTGGTTCCTTCCTTTCACCAGACTCTATTGGTGCCACTGTTATGGGTAATTTGAACACATTGAGTTTGTGCGTTTGTGTGCGTCTGCATGTTGCCTGGAGACGAGTGACAGCATTTGAGATACCATCTCGGTTGAAGCAATGTGTACTGAGGTCAAGATGACTGCAGACAGTACAGCTTGAACATAAAATTACAGATTAATGCAACAGACACACTGTGAGAAACGCAAATGATGTATCTTTGCCTGGCGTCAGTATGATATCTAGCCATCTTTTACCTTTTCGCGCTCGCTGAGGAATAGAAAACGTATTTTATAGCCCTCAAATACATCATGTATATGGCAGTAATAAATTAAAACAAATGTTTCTTTTAATTAAATTGTTGCTATTATGCTAGCCTGACTGTCAAACAATACAGCTGTTTCATAAAAAAGGCCTTTCAGTAAACATTTTATAGCAGAAAAATAATAAATTGCTCATAACAGTAAACTGTTTATGAATAAATGAGGTCTGGTGTTAGTAGTTATAGATCAGGATTCGGGTTAGATAGTTACTGTTAAACTGGTATAGGTGTGACTGGTTAGTTCCGGGTATGGATTAGGGATTACAGCAGTCCAGAAATCACCCACAAATACACCCCATTTAAACACAAGACTTGCCCTCATCTATCATGAACCAGAGTGCGCCATTAATCTCAAATGTTTATTTAATCTAGCATATGTTTACACGTGCTGACAGAAACACACGTGACATTTCAGAAAACACACAAATGCTCAATTGCGCCAAACATCACGACCAAATCTACCATCATTTCACAACAAGAGCAGAAAGAACCAACAGGTCGCCATTGCCAGACCACTCCTACATATTAAACCGTCATCACCACCACAGCAGCTCATTACCAATGGATCCTTCAAAAAAAAAAAAACGCATTTCCGCCCATTTAAAGCTGTTTCCAGTGCATCCCATAGTGTGTATGGGTTTGTTTAGAGTGCACTGCGACAGTTTTCTATGACAGCTCTGTTACTTTGTGGCCATTTAGCCTATTGGTACGATCAGTAATTCCTTCTGTCCAAATGTTCTGTTATTAATAATTTATTATAATTCTGAACAAAGTGAAATTGACCATCTCGACAGTTATAAAGCATATAAAGCAATATAAAAAAAATATTAAAAAGTAACATCTCCCGAATGCTAACGGGTTGAGTAACAGCCTAACAAGACTAACTTACCATTACTGCACAACCAAACTTTCAGTTACCTTTTAATGGAAACTACAGCGTGATACAGTTTTAGCTTCTGTGTAATGCAGTTATACAAAGAAACGGGACAGTTAAGGCCTCTCATATATGTTTAATTGTTTCTTACCGAGCAGCAGGAGTTTGACCTCTCTGGCCGCTTTCTCTCCGTCATCTCTCAGGTTTCTGTCGATCATTTTACTCCTCTCCACCGCCGCCTTATCCTCCGTGCTTAACGTGCAGCCCATCCTCGCGACGATCCGAACCGTTTCAATCTAACTCACAGTATTCAACATGCACCAGCTCTCTCTCCGGGAAACCACACGCCCTTCTTTAAAAAAGAAAACCAAGAGCCGAGCGCAAAAGGGGGTCTTGAAAATCAGAAGACGGAGGATAAGGTCTGGCTCTTGCCTTGTTTGATCAAGACTGTTCCTTTAGCCGCCGTTATTTCACCGTAAATCCCTTCAAAGGGATGAGAAAGGGTCCGTAGACGCGTAGCGATCCGTTCCCGTTCCCCAGCGCGTCAGTCTTTCACGGGCTCGCGCTGCTTCCTGTGCGCATGCATGCAGGCGCGTTCACGTGTGCGCGAGGCGGGGACGCGCGCTTTGCCTCAGCATCAGCAGTAAAGGAAATAAATGATGGAGGGCGGTGGTGGGGCTGGCATCTCTTGATGCCAATGAAGTGCTGCTTTGCTCTTCCCGTTAGGACGACGGGGCCTGTGTCCAGTTTCAAACAGACTGACGAGATATATGGGAGCTATCTATTCAATTATTTTTGTGGTGTGTATCCTAATCTTACACTCTAAAAAATGCTGGGTTAAATAGGGACAAACCCAGCAATTGGTCTGTTTTGACCCAGCGGTTTGGTTAAATGTTTAACCCAACCTTCTGGGTAGTAACCCAACCGCTGGGTCAAAACAACCCAATTGCTGGGTTTGTCCCTATTTTACCCAGCACTGGGTTGTATTTAACCCAGCATTTTTTTAGAGTGTACCATATAAAAAGGAGTTGTACAACTTAAATATTGTTGGATTCATGTACTTAAGTAAATATCTTGAGTGAACTTAGGTTAAGCTGTCTTAATGGCCTATAAGACTTAAAACCAGCCATAATTGTTAGCTGGCCTACTTGTTTAGATTAAAAGATTAAAGCAAAAGATTTCTTAAATGTAACCAAACAGTTACGTGGTTTTTAAATGATCCAATATATTGTGCTTCATCTTATGTTTTCTCTGAGATGTCATTGAGAGTTATGCTTTTAACCCTATAAAGCCTGTTTATATGAAAATAATGAAATCTTTCATTATTTTAAAAAAAGTAAACGTATAAGAATAACATTTATATTATTATTATTATTTGGAGATTAACACTTACTAGACTGAAGTAACTTAAGCTTACTTGAATATTCATTCATTTTCTAGAAAATTCTAGAAAATGTATGCATCAAATATAAAACCTCACGCTTTTGATGAATGTTTATTGGTACATCTCTTCATAATTTTATTGCATTACATTTCATTTTCCTTTTTGGCTATACAAACTATAATCTGCACTTTGCTCAGTTTGGGCCTCTGAATAAAAATGATTGATGAATGAATGTTTTTATTTTTCTTCTTCTTCTTGAGTGTAAGCTCCATATTCTCCTATATCTGGGCCATAAAAGCCTGATATATCAAATATGATACAAAACATAAAACACATATGCAACCCTTTTCTTTTATTGTATATTTTCTTTTTCTTTTTTAAATTTCAGTGAACTGTTCCATTTCTAAGTATTTGAAAGAGTTAAACTATTAACAGCACATAAACACTCATCAAACACAAAAACAATAGCACAACACAACAAGGGTTACTCGTCAAACTGGCAAGGGTAACAAAGTAAACATGGCAACTAAATCAACAACAACAGTGTAAATAAAAGTGGCAAATGGTCAAACAATGCAGCCATATAGGGCTGCAACTAACGATTATTTTAATAATCGATTAATCTGTCGATTATTTTTTCGATTAATCGATGAATCGGATAAAAAGCAAGAAAAGCATTCATTTCCAACCCTTTATTCAAAAACAGAACTAAAACCTTTAGAAAGTGCACAAACATGTTGCTCCTTGAACATCCCTGAGCTGTTATAATAATAATAATAAAATAAAATAAAAATGGACTTACACAAAAAACATACACATGTATGCTTTACATCTGCCAAATATATAGACTTTTTAAAAAAATAAAGTGCCACCTGAGCTGCCAGAACAATAAATAATTTATAAAAAATAAAGAACAATACAAATCAGAAAATTTAACAGGATTTGTTTGAATGTCAGAACTTGTTCTCTACACTACACTGCAGACGCACACACTCGCAGATGCACACACATAAATACACACACACACACACACACACAACACAC